GAAACATTGTACATTTGCTGTTATGTTAAACTTATATTAAAGTTTTTCTTCATTACCCATTCAAGCCGTCTCCAGCCATTATTAATATCAAGGTTGCTACTAAGAGGAACAAGTAAATAAAAAACATTTCAAAAAAAGGAAGTAAATGTAGGGATGACATCTGCATCATTCCCACATAATATCACAGGCACACAGTGTAGTAGAATGTTAACAGACAAAAATATGATAAATTAAACTTCATTGTGATTGAATAGTTATATATATTGCTATATATTAATTTTTGCCTGTCAGTGTTTAATTTTATACTTGATGTAAATAATTATGTCTATGTAAAACTCTGTAATGAGCCTCAGTCCCTATGTTCAGGACAAAGTCTTATTAGTTTGAGATAAAAGATTGTAGTATAGCTCCATTAAGCCATAAAACTGCATTATCATGATCCTTATCAATTTGTTCTTTTTTAATTAAATGAATTTAAGTTAAAAGGGTTCAGTAGAAACAAAATAAAACTGCAGCAAATGCAAACTTGAAGTTATTTATAATCTCTCTTTATCTTAATATCTAGACAACTCATCATCTGCAATACCCTTCAGAAACCACGACAGTGTACTCCTACTTTGAAAGTCGAGGAGGAAGATTTCCATATACCGTATTTTTTGGTTTACAGTACATCATAAAAAGATGGTTAGTTGGACCTGTCATCACAGAAAGTAAGATTCAGGAAGCCAAAGAAATCTGCCAATCTCATATTAGACAAGATATCTTCAATGAAGAAGGTTGGAGACACATTCTTATGGTAAATTCATAAATTTTGTGAAAAATATAATTGTTTGATTGTTTTTAACATTACATAATATAGGTTTTCTCGTACATCATATTAATTAGAACTTGTAATGTAAATGAGCCTAGTTCCATATATTTGGTTATAACTGTTTAAATGTATACATTTAAAGTGCCAATATTTTGCATTGAAAAGTTTAATTATTTTTTATTTGTGAATGACGTAAAGCCAATTAATAAAGTTTAATATGGTACCAAATATATATTTGAGAGTGCTGTAAAAGTTTTTTTATTATTATTATTTCATCCCCAAAATCATCCTAGTAGCCCTTCTCTGATGTTTACAATAACTCAGTACCATTTCTTAGGTAAGGATACCAAAACTGTAAACAGTACTTCAAGCTATATTTATAAAGTGAGAATTCCTCTTTTAACTTGTAACCATTATGTCTAAAAATATATCCTAATATTCTTTTAGCTTTCCCACTAGAAACAGAACACTGCCTTGATGGCTGAATGACTTATCTACTACTATGCCAAGATCATGCTGTTGAATGGGTTCTCATCTATATTTAACATGTGACCCAAATTATGATAAACTAAGTGCATTACCTTGCACTTATTACAAAAATCATTTTTAATGTATTTGTCTAACATACTAATCAATCCAAATCATTCTATAGTGCTTCAACATAAACTAGAAATAATCAAGAGCTACAGTATGCTTTACTGATTTACTAATTAAACTACTATCAATATCATCAAAATTTGCAAAGTTTATTTTGTTAAAACCTCTAGAATTTTTCCTATTTCACAAGTGATATCTACTGGCTTCTAATTTCCATTATAAAGCATAGTTTGCAATTATGTGTAACTTGAGCTCTTGTTGAAATATAAAGTATTAAACCAGGGTTTCATTAGTTTTATAAGTTCAGTTTTACTTAAAATGAAATTCATGTAAAGAAAAAGGAGTATTGAAATATTTTAGTTAAGAAATGTTTAAATTGTACTTTTAGAGTTTGACATTTAACTATCTATCAATTTATTAGACAGTGACTATCATTGTGTTCCTTTTTTTTCTTAAAAAAAAATCATCTTTTTTTTTATTACAGACTAAGCTATTTAATCTATTTACTTCAACTAAATTACTTTGGAGTGTCTTATAGCATGAGTAATGTTAATCATTTTCATTTTGAGGAAATACAGAGAAAAATTAAATGTAAAAGAACATTCCACCTCTTATTGCTGCATTACTTGGGCTTTCTATATTGATATTACATATATTTTACAACTGTAGGTGGTTTGCACAAAATGTCAGCTCAAAAGAGGAGCATATGTATAGATTAGTAAAAGAAAACAATAAATTTCCTTCATTTTAAAAGGAACGATGTGAACCTTTCTATCATCTGAATTTTTTTATTCATGATTATCAATTGGAGTTGTCATACTATATTTCAGTTTTACACACTTTTGTATGGTTACTATGGTTACCAGATAAAACAGAAAAGTTTCTTGTCTGTCAGCCTTTACCAGCTTATGTCAGGGTGTGGTTGGGCAGAAAAAAGCTACAGATCAAATTTGTTCAGACAAAATGATATTGATTAATAATGTTAGAATATACATAGATAAAGGAATGAGATACAGTTATATATAGATTTAAGTAACCAATTATTAATGCGTATGGGCAAAAGAAATAGTTTTATGGCTGATTAAGGTAGAAATATACTGTCTGATTATAATTGATAACATTTAGATTTCAGTTTGCTGTTTTTAGGGAGTGCTTAATTTCTTAAGTAATCATTCTTGGTTTAGAGTATGTGATTTGAACTGTGCTTAATAGCAAACATATTATAGGAAAATATACTAGTTATTAAAATACCATTGAAAAAATTTAGCTCTATACAAATGAATTGCTCTCTCAGATTATGCTTAGCTTGGAAATAACGTGTATTTCACAGTATTTCTTGTAGAATTATCATGAGGTAACTTAATTGCTTCAGACTAAAATTTATTTTATTTTTCTAACTGCACTATAGTTTGAAAAATTTAATATTTTATGTTTCGTAAATATATCCATGTTTAATTAAGTACAGACAATGTTTTTTAAGACTCATAAGGTAGGTAAAATGATATGTGGAATTATACATGGACTTTTCTCTACGTTAAAATACTGAAGGCCGAAAGCTTGCAAATAAAACTATTTTAACCTAGCGAAAATCTGAGTATAATTCCACATAAGTACAGATATTGTTACGCTTCTAACCAGTATCTGACGACTTCCTGCAATATAATAGTTCCAAAAAAATGATACAAAAAATTCTTTTCATAGAAACTTCTAGTTTTTGTAAGTTTTATTAGTAATACTTCCAATGATTACCATCTTTAATAATTTACAAGTATGGTAGAAAAAGTATGTAGCTGATTTCAAGAAAGTAGGAGGTATTGTAAT